CAAATGATCTGTTAAGAACAGATATAACATATTTTACAAAGCAGCACCTAGATCAAACATATGAAGTCAAAACTAAAGATTAGTGTTAATGAAATACCTTCCCCAGAATTTAAGTATTGCTTTTATTCAGCCATCCATCATCTGTCCTTTGTTTAATTTGGCCACAAAGAAAATCCATCCAATAAAAGCAGTAAATTAATATACCCTTGTGATGTTTTCATATGTGCATGGAATGCTAAACAAATATAAATTAGCTCTGAATACAATGAACAATGAGATTCATGGATTGAAAAAATAACATGGTGGCCAATTCCAAAGGCTGTTTTAAGAGTGTGTGTGTGTGTGTATACATATACATATACATACATACATACATACATACATACATACATACATACATACATACACACACACACACACACACACACACACACATATACCAGTGGTGGATTGCAGGCGGTACGCCCTGGTACAGGTATACTAGTACCTGCCAGGAGAACCAGATACCATTTCAGTATGGTGCTCCGGAGGGCCCACCTGCCCTCACCACACTCCCTCGTTCCTTACCTGTATTTGAAGGAAATGGGCCATCTGTGCACACGAGCACTGTGCACGGTGCCTACGAAATACTCCACCGAGCAATTGGAGCATTGTGGAGGAGGCGTGGAGCATCACAGGAGGTAAGGACGCATGCATGCGCTGTGCGCATTCATGTGGTGGCCGCTGGGCCCCGTTGCACCGTACCAGTTGCACCGGGATCCGGAACCCCCACTGACATACACACACACACACACACACACACATGGCTCTCTGGGGAAAGACACCCTATCACCCCTCAGGATGTGTGTTCTGTTAAGATACAGCCTGTTGTGCCTTAAAATGACTTCTACTGTACAGAGCAGTGGAGTTGCCATGGTAACAGCTTCACAATACTCCACAAGGGGAGTATACCCCTCCCTGGTAAGGGGAAAAATCAAGCATTAGAAATTACGTTTGGTCCAGGATTATTTTTGAGGACAAATGTATGTATTAGGATAAATAAATACCCGGGCAATGCCAGGTTATCAGCTAGTGGCATACAAAACATCTTTCACAGAATAAAAATTTAATCCATAGAATACTTGTTTTCATCCTCTAGTTTCTTTTAAGTAAAGTATCTGAGAACATCTGACAACTTTTGATTTTAGCAGGCTTTTTTAAAATCCCAGAATATTTTAAACTATATACAATGTATTTTATCCATCACAAGGTGGCAGACAACAGTTATCAACAATTTTAAATAGTTTTTAGCTCTGATAATACTCCATTATGACCAAGTAGCTATTGTATACAAGAGTTCTATTTTACCTTAACTGATTAAACATTATCATATTAAAATCACTTAAAAATGGCGGGGAGAGAAGAAACCTTTCTCTCACACATACCATCTGGCTAGTTAATAATAAGCACCAGGTAGTAATATGTAGATATTTTAAACAGGGACTGTGTTACCTGTATACATTTTTTAAAAAAAACTATTACACTTCAAAAACATTGCTATCAACATATCATTTAAAAATAAGTTATATACTGAGACCCATTCTAGTCCAGACAAGAAGCACTAACCAATGGGTACTAACACTTTTATTGTAAGATTACAATATCTTGCATGTCTGAACATAATATATCTCCCCCAGCCCCCCTTGCTTTTACAGTCCAAGAAACCAGAGGTCAATATTTACCTGACAAAGACTGTAATTGCTGGCTTAGTTTCGATGAAGACATCTGCGTCTGAAGGCTTGGGTGGGTTTGCCTGGTACTGAGATGGCAAATAAAAGGCAACTGTTGTAATGGACTCGGAGAATGGGCCAGCTCCTGGCTGGACATAGCATGTCACTGGGGCTGTCATAGCTATCTTTGTTCCTGCAAAAGGCAGAAAGAATCATGTCACTAGCGCGACACTGCTAATCTTTAAGGATTAAGTCTTTAAATTAGAATGCTAAAATCCTGAAATCTCTCCTACATTAACTAATACTATCATCATCCAGAAACTGATTAAAATGGTTTCATTCCAGGCAGGCATATAGCTCAATATTAAACTCCACGCAAAATAAATATAATCAAATGACTAAGCTTAAGCTAACTCAGTCAAAACACCAGATATATCTACTATGCTTTCTGGGCAGAAATCCAGTTAAATAAGGTAACTTTAGTAATATTTAGAAATGTATCTGACTACTACAGAGGGAAACTGGTTCCAATGTAATTGTTAAATACTTTTTTTTGCAATTTTAAACAAAAATTTAGAGGAGTTAGGCAATTTGACCCCACAATCGTTGGTAAAATGAATTTCCTCAGAATGATTACTTTTCTAATAACTTTTAAGAACTTCTTTATCCATGTTTTGGAATGTCTATTAAAATATTTGTTTGTGCCTTTAGGCAAAAAATAGAGAACAGCTTCCAATAAAATATTTTAGAATATGCATGAAAGATTTAGGAAAGCAACACATTTTAGGACATGGTGAAATATGTCTGTGCGGCATGATTTTTTCCCATGTAAACAAGAGGAACAATTTCACGAAAAGAGGATGCATACATTGGATACATTCAAATACCCTGCACATTTACCTTTTTCATTCTTGCCTTTAATGTAGTTAAAGAGCTTCATGAAGCCAGCATTGATGGCTGCATCCCAGTCTATGGTTTTAAGAGATGTACACACCCATTTGGCAGGTTCATACTGTCGAATTTCATAATCAGATGCCTTTAAAAAAAAGTCAAGGTCACAAATCGTGACATTGTTACTAAATAATTTGCATATTATAAACTCTGAAGGAATTCATTTAAATACCAATAAAACATGTATTAAACTATGGATGTTAAGAGTTACAGTACAATGGTACTGAGTTAGTTTAGGTTAGGGCAGACCCACATTTAACAACAAAGCTCATTCAATACCCCAAGGATGTTTTTCAAAAGGCAACTGGACTTCGTTTTTCTCTCTCCTTGAATATATTTTGCTTCTCATTCAAGAAGCTTCTTCAGTTCTTTTTGGAACTTCAGCATCTTCTTGTATGAGAAGCGAAACCTATTCAAGCAGAAAAAAACCCCAAGGAAATCCAGTTATCTTTTGAAAACCTTTGGGAAAACCATGGCCTAGATGACTGAGAATCTCCACAGATTCATTCAGTAACTTTAAGTCAGCCATACCTGAATCACCCTGTGTTGTGAGAATATAGAGGTTTTGGCTAGAGCTCATTGGAAGAAAAGTAGGATGTAACCAGGGGTGGGTTTCTCGCCCCGTTCCAACCGGTTCGGTTGGAATGGGGCCGGCGGCGTCCTCGTGGACGCGCACAGTGCGCGCATGCGTACTAGCGTCTGCGCGATGCTCCAGCTGCTCCTGGACGATCGCGCAGGC